CTGCGTGCGATCGAATTCACATATTTTATTTGTTGTTATTAATAATAACTTTTTCTTTCTTTTATAGACGTTCGCCGGGGAATTCCTTCATCGCGGGATCCAGACGGGGACGTAGAATTCGTTTATTTTTATTTTATACGGCGGAGAATTTATTTTATTTGTATTATACATACGTTAAATTAATACTCTCTCTGTTGTCCCATTCCCTATTGTTTAGGCCTATCTTACTCATGGCGCCGTCTACTTCGTTCCTCCAGGATCTCTCTTCAAGTCATCCTCTTTTCCTCCCTCCTATTGGGCTCTATTCGGGTATTTTCTTTATCCATCTGCTTTCGCTAGTTCTTCTTACATGTCCATACCACTTTAGTCTTTTTTGTTCTATATATGTTAGTATGTCTGTTTCTTTCGATGTTCTTTGCTTTATTTCGTCATTACTTCTCCTATCCATTTTTGTTACTCTGCAGCATCTTCGCGGGCATTCGATCTCTGTTGCTACTATCTTACTGCTGTTTTTTTGTTTATAATCCAATTTTTAGCCCCATATGTCATAATACTTTGCACTAATGTATTATAAATCTGTGTTTTTGTCTTCATATCTTCATATTCCTCGTTGCATTCTACTTTTCTATTTCTTACCCAGTTCTTGATGTTCTCCACTTTGCATGTACGTCCTATATCTGTACTTCTAGATCTTTACAGTATCTTATTATCAATTTTTTATGTGTTTTCACCTCTGCTGTTTCTAACATCCTTTTGGTCCTCTCTGTATCAGGTCATGTTTCTGCCGCGTATTTCATTATTGGTCTGATGACTGTTTTGTAAATTCTGCCTTTCATTTCTTTTCCGAGAGTTCTCCATATTGTTTTATTTAGGCATCCTGCGGCTCTGTTTGCTTTATTCACTTGATCTGCCACTTCAGTTTCGAGCTTTCGGTAGCTAGATAATGTGATGCCTAGATATTTAAACTCCATCACTTGTTCTATGATCTGACCTTCCAGCTCCAATTTACATCGTAGTAAATTTGCTATTGTATCCATGCCTCTTTGTCTTTTTTGGGGAAATTAACATGTTAAATTTTTTGGCGCTTATATTAAATTGGTGCAGCTTACGTTGTAAATCGTCTTCACTTTTAGAGGATAGTATTGCGTCTTTTGCATAGCAGATTATTTTAAGTTGTTTTTCTCTCATTCGGTATCCTTTTTCAGTTCTTACATTTTTTATTATTTCTTTCATAATCAGGTTGAACAATTATGAGTCGGAAATCCTTTGTAGTTTCGAAGAGTTTTGCCAATAGCAAATTAATAGTTAACTGCATCATAAGTGGCATTCTATGATAGTCATAGGAGCCAGTTAGGTTTATGAACGCTACCCCTATTATTTTTCTTCATTCAAAACCATCAACACCCAATATATTGGGTGAAGTTAAAGGTTTGGCTGCAGGATTTTTTGCGTCTGAACCCTGCTTGTTCTAGATTAATTTAGTCTTAACATATTCAGCGACAACGTTCAGTATTATTATTTCGAACGCCTTCAAAAGGTGACACAAAGAAGATACAGGTCTAAAAATCTTTGTATTTGCCGGATCTCTAACTGATTTTAAGACCCCCACCACTTTTGCCTTTCATCCACATTTTAATATTTGTAATGTACTGATGCAGCAATTTAATATTCATAAAAATCAATTACGGTTATTGGTCCAAAGTTCTGTAGTTGGTTTTTTTGTATTTCGTTCAAGCCAGCCGGTTTATCATCTTTAATTTCGTAGATCGTTTCTCTCATCTCCTTTAGACAAAAGGAGATACCTAGAACATTTCTTTCTTTGTCGATATTTTGTTGGACTTTCACCTTATTTGTTGTTTATCTTAATATACTGTTCGTCAGAAGATGGTGAACTATCTGATCGAGTATGTCAGGTTGGGTGCTGGGGCGAAGAAATCGTTGCCAAAATTCCTAATAAACCTCCAGGCGTGTGTGCTATTTTGTTTTATATCCAGACTGGTCACCAACTATAGCACATCCTCTCCAGCCTATATTGTTGTTTCCAAAAAGGCCATTCTCATATAGCTTTTCATATTTTTTAAGCAGGGGTTTGGATTTTTTAATACGCTCTGCTATGTATTCGGTTCGGCAATCTTTGGGGATATACTTTTGTGATATTTGTTTTACAATTTTTATAAATGTATTATATGATCCAGGGATAGTTTCAGCTGGGAAATAGATTCATTTTTCTCTTTAAAATAGAACAGTTTTATATCTGATTGCCGCGTTGAGAAGTCAAGTTATTGGTCTATGTTGGGTTTTTGGGAGGAGACCTTCAACGATTTTTGTCACCTGATCTCCAATCCTGTCGCTGATAAACATATTGTCGCTTTCTAACATCTGTGCTATCTTTGGGTATTTAAAGACTTGGGCTATGTTGGACCATGGATAAGTTTAAGGGTTATGTTTTCCGCCCGTTTTTCTAGTTCTTAGCCATTGAAGCTTGTCTCATCATAGCCCTAAGAAACACTGTGATAGTTAAAGTCCCCCAGTACGAATTCTATTGGATGAGAGTAAAAGTTATCCGGTTCATCGGAAAAGTCAGTGTTTGTCGGTTTGTGGATGGGCGTTATCGTATAGAAGTTTAACGCCACTATGAATATCTCGATGTTAGTAGTAAATAAATATTTAGTAAAATAGTGTTATAGAGCAGCGAACTGGTTTGACAAGTGATAATACAGTATGGTAAGTTTTGGATTAGATATTGCAAACTAAATAAAGCGCTAAAATCGGCAAAATTGACTCGTACGATGTAATTGTAATTATCCGATCCCCTCCGACACCTTAGACACTTGGTAACACATAACAACGCAAGGGATATTCATCCCCGTCCGTCGATTTTTGTTTTGCTTACGTATACCCGGTTCATTTCTTATAACATAAATTCGATAAAAATACACTGACCAGTATAAGGCAGTGCATTTATATCTATCGGTTTTTTATATTGTGAACAACTTTTTGTGGTTAAATTAAAAATAAAAAATAATTCTTAACAAAATAAGAAATAATTCTTTATCCCTACAGAAATTATTCAAATGTTTGATCTTCTACAGCTGAACAGTATCCCAATCTGTCATAAAAACTTCTGCGGACAGATGTAAGAGTTTCTGCTGTATTAGAATTGGACACTTCACTTATTCGGTTTTTTATCTTATCCCAATTTTTAGTACACCAGCCTCAGGATGATTGTTGCACAAATTTGTATGTCTCGATACTCTCTTTCCTTAACTTTTTTTGGTGACACTTCTTGAGCGTGACATTTTCTGCAACTTTTGAGGCAATAACAACTCTCAAAATTGTTAATAGTGTTATGAACTGACTGTACGCAAGAAATTGTTTTTTCTTTCTACCACGATAAAGCTATTTTATTATATAAAACTTTTTTGCGGGCATATAAACAGACATGTTGTTTACAAAAAACAACTTAAAATCTATGCTGTTATTGATTTATACAATCATTGTATAATGACAAATTATTGGCGACGGGACAACGGAGGTTCGTGTAAGTCGACGGCGCACAGTGTTGCCATTTATAGTCTGTTTATCTAATTTAAAACTTAACGTACTATATTTACATTGATATACATTTATCGATGCATGCTTCAAGAACTCGCATAACTGACACTTTAAATTAGTAGCGTTGGGCGCTAGCTGTCTTTTATTTTATCTTTGATACCTGGCGTTTTTAGTAGCGCGCAACCCTAATTTTCGACCAGTTTTTATAAGGCAAACTTATATCATCAGATTGGGAAAATAATTAGCTTTCATTAGAAATAATTAGCTTTAATTAATATGAAATAAAATGTCAAAATTTAATTACTATTAACTGAATTAAAAATATTTGAGCCACCTTCTACTGGCAACCTATTCTCCTAATTTTAAACGTATGTAAAAATGTGAGTTTGATTAACTACGTTATGAGCGTAGGTATCCTGCAGTGGGATCTTGATAAAGGCCGTTTGCATTTTAATTAAAATTGCATCTGTATTGGTGCACCAATTTTGAAAGAATTAGCCGACATTACTCATTTCCAGGTGTCGCCGATTATTTCAGTTATTGGGCTGAATCATAGTGGAGGCTTCTTTTATGTCCCGTATTGAATTAAATATTAAACCTAAAATAGAGAAATGAAAATGAACAGAATCTGAGAAATTGAAAACAAGAAAAAATAAGTATAAATCAAGATAAAGATTAAAAACCATCAGACAAAGATAATAGACTTGACCAATAATCATTGGTACTGCCAATTCTTCAATTATTTTAAAGAATGCGCTTCTGTATTTTTTAATTAGATATTTATTTTTACATACTAGGCATACAAATCTAAATATAAAGACATACTGCATATACAAATATGCAAAAACACGTCACAAACTTTCATATTTGACATCTTGGTGTGTATTTGATGTGATACCACCATTTATTCTTATTTTCTGTTCCTAAAACTGATTTTCCGATTCTTTATTTCAAGAAGCACATATGCAATTTGTCTTTAATCTCTTCCAACAAAAAAAAATCTTCGATCTATTGTGGACTAAGATATTCTCCTCTTATTTTTATTCCTTTTTGTTCTATCTTGAAAACATCTTCTGGGACGTGATTAACCAATTTTGATGATCTTTTGTTGTCTTTGTCCTATGCTTTTATTTACATATATTGCTTCTGTAGTCAATACAGATTACTGTTGGTTCCTAATTTTCTCTTTCGTTGTATAAGCGGCCTTAACTTAATTATTAACAGTTCATTTAACAGGGTACATATTAAATATGCTTATTCTATTGTAAACAATAAGCCATTTCAACACTTCTAAAATGACAAGAGTGATTTTGTTAAGCGAATCGTGCTGTTATGGACTTACTCTCATAAACTCACTTTGCAAAATATTAAAGAACCTTTATTTAGTGCACAATTTATTCTTATAGCTTAAACAAAAAACAGACAACTTTTACAAACAAAAATATCTAAAACGTCATTTGAGTCGTTAAAGTATTATTTCTTTGCAATTTTCTTCCATAATATGATTCTTGTGTATAAATCCTTTCACTTCTACTAGGGGATTTACTTGGATCTACAGTAACAAAAGGCAGAAAGGAAAACACTTGTTTGAATCCTCTACGAAATCTAAAATATAATAAAAAATTAAATATAATTCGTTACTAAAGGGAAATTAAATAATAATTTGACAATTTTTTTAAAGTTATTTACATCTGAATTCAATTAGTTAGTAGTAAACAGCAACAGAGCACACTTTTTTACTTGAGAACTTAACATAAAATATCCTTAACATAATCATTCTTTACTTTCTAATTTACTTATTTTTGACTTACCGTGCGTTCATCCAACAATATATGATTGGATTATACATGGAATTGCTCATTGCTAACCAGTATATAAACAAATATAGCTCTTGAACATAAGGAGCAAGCGTTAAAGTCGGATAGTAAAAAGTAAGCAGAAAATATATTTGATATGGAGACCAGCAAACTGCAAAAATTGTCACCACAACTATCATCATTTTGACGACCTAAAAAAATAGTAAAATGTAAATAATAGGTACCTAATTTTTTTAAATTACTGATAATTTATTCAAATCAAAACTTTAGAAACTATTAATTTTGACTTGAACTGGTGATTATATCACTAAAAATATAAAAAGTTACAAAATACAATAGGTTTTAAAATAGGTTATATAAATGAAATGTTTAAATTTTGATAATGCAAATATTTTTGGGTTTTTACTAGGGTAAGTTTGGAACCATTTAGGGTCAGCCTTCAATTCGTCCCCGAGTAGTCTTCTTCTTCTTGTAGTGCCTATCCGTTTCGGATGTTGGCGATTATCATGGCAATCTGCACATTGCACACTGCTGCTCTAAAAAGATTTGTGGTTGTTGTGTTGAACCACGTTCGTAGATTTTTCAGCCAGGAAATCCTTCGCCTTCCTGGTCCCCGTTTTCCTTCTACTTTTCCCTGCAAGATTAGTTGCAGCAGTCCATATCTTTCGCTGTTCCTCATGATGTGACCGAGGTATTCGATTGTGGCTGTTTTTAATGTGATTAACAGCTCTTTTTCTTTTTTCATTCTCAACAGAATACCCTCATTAGTAACGTGGTCGGTATACGATATCTTCAGGATGCGACGATAAAGTTATATATCTAATGTTATTGATAGATTCTCCATTGACTTGAATTCCGGCTTCAACATCACCCACTGCTTCTTGAAAGATTTCCTCAGAGTATATGTTAAACGGCAGTGGTGATAGTATACATCCCTGACGGACGCCACATTTTATTTTGATATCGTCGGATTCTCCTGCCACTGTCCGAATAGATGATGTTTGATTCCAGTACAGATTGCTGACAATTCTTAAATTACAGTTGTTTATTCCAATATTGGTTAATGTCTTCATCAGCTTGTCGTGCTTTACTGTATCGAACACTTTATGGTAGGCAATGAAGAACGCATAAATGTCGCAGTTCACGTCTCTACATCGTTGAAATAGCACTTGTATACTAAAGAGAGCCTCTCTCGTACCCACTACATTCCGAAAACCAAACTGTGTACGGCTGATTTTTTCTTCGCACAGTCTATATATTCTTTGATGTATGATTTTTATAAATAATTTTAGAATATGACTCATTAAGCTGATGGTTCGGAAATCACTGCAGGATACGGATTTTGTTTTCTTTGGTAAAGCAATAAAGGTCGACTTCAGCCATGTTTTTGGTATTACTCCGCTTAAATATATGTCATTTAATACTTTTGTTAGGTGTTGAATACCGTCGGTGTTAAATAGTTTTATGAGCTCAGCATATTTATTGTCAGGTCCAGGAGCTTTGCCATCTTTTAGTTGTAATATGGCTTTTTGAACTTTATCTGATGTGATTGGTAAGTGGTCATCACATATGTAGGATGGAGGTTGTTCGGATCTAGTATCATCAAAGAGTTCTTGTATGTATTTTGTCCATATGCGGATTTCTTGATTTTTGTTAGTGATGATATTCCCCTGTTGGTCTCGCAGTTTGTTAGCTGTGTTGGATTTCTGAAGACCAGCTGCTTGTTTCACCTTTTTATGCATGTTAAACGTATCATGTTTTTGTTCTAACAACTCTATCTCTTCACACTGTGATGTTAACCATTTTTCTTTGGCCTTTCGTATTTCGGTTCTTATTTGTCTCTGAATCTTGTTGTACATTATTTTGTTGTTCTTTGATTTTCTTCTTTCTTCCATAAGTTCCCGAGTAGTCACTAGAAGATAATTCTACCCTTAATTTTTAATGCTAATTATGGTACTTTAATGACACCACTCAACTGGTCCCCGAGCAAGGGATTATAATTTCTGGAAAAAACCAATTAGAGTTTAAGAAAGTTTAAATTTATTGTCACTTTTATTTTCTAATAAGTACTTGTAAGCAAACCATTATAGAATGCATTAACAATTTTATTGTACGTGGAAAATTTGTAGTAGAATCTCCAAAATTTACAGGAAATAAAGAGGTAAAAAGTGGTAATATGTGTTGGAGATGTATGATTCGCTCATGTAAAACTACAATTTATACTGTGAGTTCCGAAAATTTGATTATGCGTAGTGAACTAGAATATACCTATGAAAAAAAAAATAAGAAAAAAAATAGGCAGATAGTGAGTGTTGGTGTTAAACTTAAAGCAACCGATAATTATCGAACGCGGGCGATCATATTAGAAATAATAACTTTGTTTACGGCGCCTCTAAATAAATTAGCGGTGGTCTCTTGATACCATTCTTGGAGATTTCGAAGCCAAGATGTTCTTAGTCGGCCTGGGCCTCTCCTTCCGGCGATCTTACCCTGTATTATGAAGTGTAAAAGGTTATACCTCTCTGGATGTCTCATTACATGACCGAAATATTGTAATTTTCGACTTTTTATTGTTTTTGTTATTTCTGTGCTCTTTTTCATTCGATGTAAAACTATTTCATTTCTTATTCGTTCAACCCAACTTATCCGCAATACTCGTCGATAAATCCACATCTCTAAGACGCTATTGCATCTATAAAAACAATGACTGTTAAGACAATAAAAGATGAAAACTTTTTCATTACCGATGATATTAAAAAAATTATTGTATTTTCGTGTCTAATAAATGTTATCATCCCATAATCTCATCATTGTAAATAAAAAATTTATCATAAATCATAGTATTTTATTCTGTATTTATATTGTTATTTGCCATCAAGTTGTTAATATTAGTTACTGTTGCATTGGTCCACCTAGTCAAGTGCTTTCTCTCTGTACTAGAGGCAATATTTTTCCTCATTTATAGATTTGAGAAACGACAAATTTCGCCGTAACCAGTTGCAGGTTGACCGACATTTTAATCTAAGTGCTTCAAATTGGAAAAGAAAAAGCCCATAGGAACGAGAAGTTAAGCATTTTAGAATAGATTATTATTATACAAGAAAGTAATAAAGATGTATAACAGTCAGTATTAAACATTATTACATGGCGCAGTCTTGTAGTCAATGAAGCCTGCTGCTTTCAAACTAAAACGAAAACAAGAAGTTGTTAGAATTAGAACAATATGGATTGTCATTTTAAGGTAACGTGGCTAAAAACTTTCGGCGATTCAAACAGTCATTTGACTGTTTGATTAACCTTTTAGCCAGTGGCAAGGCGGGAAAAAAAGACACAGTAAAAATTACTCTACTGTTAAATTTTTTGGTAGATGAAAGAATTGATGTGTTTAACACCTTAAAGGTAACGGATGCACAGAGAAAATCATATGATACAGTATTGGGTAAATTAGATAAGTACTTCACCTCTAAAAAAATGTGATTTACGAAAGATTTTTATTCTTCAATAGAAAACAAGAGGAAGGAGAGCTATTTGATAGTTACCTAACTGATTTACGTAAATTGGCAAAAAATTGTGAATTTGTAGATGTTCGCAACCTTGTTGCGATATAAAATAGCTTTTACACTATGTTAAGCTTTTTTATCTTTGTGAGTATTTCAATAAAATAACTTTGGTTTTACCTTTCTTTTGTTTGTGATAATTTCCATTTGTCTATCGGTAACTTCACCGATACTTTTTGACCACCATAACTCTGCTGCTACTTGAGAATATGTAATAATCATTGCACCCACGGGCATAAAGTACGTGAAAACTATGAATGATATGTTGTAGCTGAAACAATCAAATAAATTAATACATCGGTATCTAATATTTATATCTAGAAATCATAGTAAGTTTGCATAGATTATATAAGTAACAGAAAATCGACAAATTAACCAAATAAATCAGATGTATTGATTTAGACTAGTAAAACCAGCGGAGATTGGTCTCTTTCTTTCTTAAATTCTTTTTATTTACAATAATATAACGATATATCACATAACGTTTCCTGCATGTTTCTGTATTTCATGATTTCAGGAAGATGATCTTCTTTTCCTTGGATTGTTCCTTGGATTTTGTGATTAATTATTTCTGTGGCATTTGGATAAAGCTTTATTTATTAATATCCAATTTTTTACATTATCGAAACTTGATCGTCTCAAAAACCTATGGGTTTCAATTTTCTCTATTTAATTTTTCACATAGTCAACATTCCACACCAAAAGATAGGACTAGTTCTACCATTGCTGTGTTTTTACAAAGTTTTATATGCAATAATGTCTTATTAATACATAAAAGATAGAGGTAAGAGAACACCATAGATAACAACTTTCCACTAGTACTAGTTTTTGTTAATTTCCAAATCGCTTCGATACGAGAGAGACAACCAAGTGTCGTATGCATTACAGATACATCCGCTTGATTCATAACATCTATAAAAATCAGCACCCAACAGTCAACAATTACACCCTGGTGTAATTTAAAAAAAATATTTTTGAGTAACACCAGGAACAAAGAACAGTTAGATGTTTGTGGATTAAAGCTCACATAGGGATTGAGCATAATAAGTATGTAGATATGTTAGCTAAAAAAGCCATTGATTCTGGTGCGAAAACAGATTATAAGCTCTGCATATCAGATGTATTTGTAACAATTAAGAATATTGTAAACAATCACTGGAAACAAGAATATTTTAAATATAGTCAATACTCTAAATCACAATATGCACTCATACAACCCTCAATCCCGAGTAAATTTTGGTTTAAAAATTACTATGTTCCACGTAGATACGTTACATATAATATCAGAATGAAATCAGGACACGTATGTTATCCGGCTTTTCTAGCAAAACTTAAAATTGTAAATTCCAATTTATGCGAAGTTTGTCAAAGAGAAGCAGATTTAAACCACATTTTCTTTGAATGTACAAAATATATACAACAAAATGACGACTTAATAAAAAATTTAATCAAACATAAAATCCTTTCACCCTATAATATTTGTTACCTTGTGTCATCAAATAACAAAATTGTATATAACTACTTAACAGAATTTATTTCGAAAAGTAAGTAAAAAATTTGTAAGCACAATTAAAATAGTATCCTTTGTTTTATCCTATTTGTTTTAACCTATTATCCGTGACCCAGTCTAGTTTGTGTTTTAATTTAATGTCTTGATGGGTCCCTAGACGAGAAGCGAGTAACCATGTTTGTTCCATGGATAACCAAGTAGCCAATAATAAATATATTGTGATAATTATTTTCTTTTCTTTTCTTTGGGAAGAACTTAAAAAAGTTGAGATTGGCTGAATGGCAAATGCCTGTCAAAAAAAAAACAGTCAACAGAAAGTGTTGCTAACTCCATCAAAAAACTAACGAGTTTTCATTGGAGAGAGGTGTTAGAAAACGAGACATGAAACCATCCAAGCTCTATACAGTAGTTCTAGAAAAATGCTTAACACCGATATTGTCTTCATTGCCGATAATTTACAAAAAGCCGAAGTAATGCTTAATACCATGGTACAATTGGTCCAAAAAAGGTCTAACTTCGACACCCAAACTAAAAATTTTCCTTTAACACCACATTGTTTTATTATTGTTGAGTTTTTGAGTTGTATTATTATTTCATATATTAAAATCCTTTGTAAAGGATATATATTTAAAAGCCCAATCGGGCTATGTTAGACAAAACGTTTTAGGAATCCATATTCCATCATCAGTGTCTAGGTATACATAAATGTAGCCACTAAATATGTGGGTAAAAACCCGTTAAAAATTATTTAGGTAAATTTAGTTTACATTATTTTTTATAAAATATTAAGATGTCAAAGCTACCGTTAGATTTGGTAACATTATTTTACAAGAAATAATGTAAACTAAATTTAACTAAATAACATTAAACGGGTTCTTACCCACATGTTTAATGGCTACATTCATGTATACCTAGACACTGATGATGGAATATGGATTCCGAAAACGTTTTGTCTAACATAACCCGATTTAGTTTTTAAATATATACCTTTTACAAAGGATTTTAATAAATTTTTTAATATATGGTATACAGCCAACTACAGGAACGTAGATTCCTTGTGGATTTCATATATTGTTAAGTAAAAATTTACACCATTTCGAGCGTCGGGTTTGGGGGTAGACAAATCGGTAAATTAGTAGTTTTTTACGTTTTTTCTCAATATCTATAAAACTATGTGATTCATAGGTGGTGTGTACAATAAGGAGTGATGAGAGACTTAAAGTAATATTTTAATATGAACTATGTGCATCTCTTTCATCTTTTTTCGACGAATCTGGGTTGAGGAGCAAAGGAAACAAATCTTCAATGACTACTGTTTTGGTTTCAGACACAAAAGAATCATCGTGTGCCTTAGATTAGATAGGGAAAATGTCATACATTATTGATGATGGTCATCTCTTTCATCGTGTTGTTCGACGACGCTCAGATACCTTCAAAGAGATTTGCGAGGAATACAGAGACTACGTAATTACTTATTACGGAACAGCGACTGTTATATCTAATGAATACCAACAAGGAAACACAAAAGATGAAGAACACTTACGCCAAGCACGTTCTAACATTGAAGTAAAAGTCAAAGACTCAATCCGTGTAAATATAAACCAAAGTGAAATTTTAGCTAACGCTAACAAAAAATGGGCCTTATTTCACTTCTTACAGTACACTTGTAAAGATGTGGTAGCACAGTTTATCAAGCATCGGGTAATGCTGACTTATTAATAGTTTTATCAGCTATTCATAAAGCTAATAAAGACGTTAAATATTGTGTTATTGGTGTTGACTGTCCATGCACCATCAAAGAAGAAATTGAAAATGGTGGTACCAGAGAAAGGCAATCTGCAGGAAAAAGTCTAGACATTGGAAATATGAAGGATATACTCCTTGCCATATACGCCTTTACAGGATGTAACACGGTATCAGCTCTCTACAAGAAGATTCAAATTACACTGTATAGGAAAGTACAAGCCAGCGTCGATCTTCGTAGAAAACTGATGCCGGAAAGCAGTGGCTGATGCCGGAAAACATTTGCTACTTGCGATGTCTGGTGCCAGGAACATGAAAGACCTTGATTGTTTATGCTATCGGTCTTATCTGAAGGTTATTGCAAAGCACCGTATAGACTTTTTGTCTAAGTTAGCAGCACTACCCCCCACTTTAATAAGTTCTAGCCAGAATTCGTTCAGAACCTACCACCAGGTACAGCAGTGGCCGAATGAGCAAAAGACTCTGCTCGAGTATGGTTGAAAGAAGATTAACGAACACCTGACATTAATTACAACAGTACGTACTGTAGCTTCCCAGGAATTACGTCTTTATAGTATATACTTGAAAAGTAAAAGTTTTTATTGAAAAAAGTGGAATAATAATGGTGTTCCTTACACTTTTTGATGTGTGTATTTCCTAAACAGTTAACGATATGTGTAGATTATTGTAGATAAGATATATCCACGTTATTCTAAGGAAACCAAAAATTTAATAATATACAGGGTGTTGTATTTAAAATAAGAAAGTTGGTATTGGCCATTGTTCTATGACACTCAAGGTATAAAACGTTTTTATTGCAAAAAATGTGCAACAAATAAAAAGACCAATCAATACAACACGCCCCCCATTTATTTATTGTTGAATTTATTCAATTTGATTGTTCCACTCAGTATACACATTTTTAAGTTGTAATAATATTTATAATACCTGAAAGTTCTACACCAATAAAACATAACATAAAAAATATTGAAAATTAGCGGCTGTTTTTAATAATTAAAATTTCAGATTCAAAAATGTAAACAAGTCACTGTTTTGTGACAAGTTTTGTTTGTTTGTGACAAGATTTTGTTTTTTCGCAAGTTTTGTTATCACCGAAGCCAATATATGGATTCGCTGCATAAATATTACTTACATGTATTCCAAATTTGAACTATTTGTACTTCCGTCTGGCCATAACGAATAACACGAAATTCTGTCAGTACATGGAATTATATCAGTTTGGAAAAACAGCAACTGCGGCATTGCAAATACAACTGCCAAAATCCAGGTACACAAAATTATAATTAGTGTACATTTTTTACTCATACGTCTTCTTAAAGGAACTATAATAGCCATATATCTAGAAAATGGAAGTTTATTATAACTCTATATTTTTTGAATTTACTTTATTGCTTTTAATAACATTAAATATACTAAGGGTAGTACAATTAAATACCGAACGTATAACTATCGTAAATCCAAGAAAAAATAAAGAACAAAACTATACAATAACAAGACATATATATTATTCATTGATTATAAATGCCCTGAGTTTTAGCACACTCGAAATATAATTAAAAATTACTTTAGCCCAATCAGGTCGGCTGTCCCATTGCAAAACAGAGTAACTGTCATTTTTGCCAAAATCGAGTTTTTTATAAATTTGAAGTTGCTCTGTTTTGCTCTACCTTCTGATAGTTTTAAAACTAAGATCGGAGCATAAATACGGAAAATACGGCTTACGCAAAACACATTAACTGACAGTCGAACGAGGCTTCTCCCAGTGCAAAACACAGTAACTAACAAAACCCATATCAAAACTAAGTAACTGCTACGTAGTTACTGGGTTTTCTAATGGTTTTTGTAGTTACTGTGTTTTGACTTGAGAAATCGTCACCAAAGCGGCAGGATGCTGCCCCGTGACACGATGTTTCTTCGGCACGTTCGTGTTTAAAGAAGGTAACTTAAAATATTTCTAAAACATCTTATATTTATTATTGCTTCGTCAATAAATCTTTATGTTTTTAAAATATCGATGAGCTTTCGCTTTTTCCAAAGATAAATTTTGAAACATCTTTATTTTTTATGTCAAATTATGAAAGTGGAAATCAAAAGAAAACATACTTTAAAAGGCTGCAAACTTTTTGCTCAGATGATTTGGCACAGGAAACGAAATATTTGAAATTTAATCGCATAGAAAGCCCAATCGAAGACAGTGGCCAAGATAAGAATTATTACTGCCCCACACCAGAATCATATTCTAGCGATAGCGAAAATTATGACGAAATTAAAATTAAGGCAAACAAAAGAAAATTGAATACCACGAAAAAGCCAGTTCAGGAGTCACGTCAGGTAATTAAGGGTTTTTATTAATGTAGTTTAGGACATTAAAATGGTGTATACAATCCATTAGGTACATTAAATAATTTTTTAGGATGAGAACAAAGAGAACAATAATGTTACGGCCGAATCGCCCCATGCCCTTCTCCAAAATAAAGAAGATACTACTTGGTTGGTAAGTTTCTGGTTAATTTTTAGTTAACCTTTACTATATACTTTGTATTGTTTTAGGTTAATAGTACTGTGGCCGAAATAATTAACGAAGTGAATCGAACAACACAAACAAGGAAGAATAAAAATATACCAAGGGGAAAAGAAAAAACTGAAAGGGACAAGGAAAAACATCCTATGAGAGCCATGTGTGAAGGTAAGTGTCGTAGGATGTGTAAAAAAATAACAGAAGAACATCGGAACAATATCTGGATGGGTTACTGGAATTTAGAGTATACGAGTAGACGAAAGTGGTTGTACAAACAAATAAAGCTGGTTCCTGTTAAACGTAGAACCAAGTCAGCAAAACGTAAGACGTGTGAATCAAGGCGTTACACTTTACCGCTAGAAAATTCTACTGACATAGAGGTATGCAGACATACTTTTTTAAATAACTTAGGGCATACCAACGATTCTGTAATAACAGAATTAGTAGCAGTAATTAAAAAAGGCCATTGTGGAGATCAGGTCAAGGAACGTAGAGGTGGCTGCCGTAAGCAATCCAATAGAGTAATAATAAAGGACCATATTGAGTCATTTAAGCCATCAGTGAGTCATTATCGTCCTATGAAAAAATGCCCCTAACGTTAGGTATTTATAGAGAGAGTTGACATATAAGAAAATATTTGATGATTTTGTAACAAAACATCCCTCTGTTTGTAAAATCGAAGTATACCATCAAGTTCTAAAGGAAATGAATATTTCAATTTGCCAACCAAAGTTGGATATCTGTGTAGGTGCAAAATGTTAAAGAACACGTTGGAAAATAAAGAAGACGGTGAAATTCAAGATCAGCTAAATTTCTACCGTGCTCAAGCAGAAAAGGCAAATCTGGAATATAAAAAAGACTTTACCGAAATAGCAAGTTCGACGAAACGTATATACTCTATGGATTTACAAAAACTGATTATTTTACCTATTATACCTCAAAGTAAAAGTGCAATTTTTACTAGCCGACTTGTTGTATTAAACCTTACGTTTGCTACTTTAAGTAAACAATCTAAAAATAACAGCTTCTGTTTACTCTGGCATAAAGCTTTAGGTGGACATAAAGCTGAGTCGATTGTTGACGCTTTATTAGAAGTAATAAGAAAAGAAAGAGATGTCTCTCATTTTGTATTTTGGGCAGATAACTGTACATCCCAGAATAAAAATTGGGTTCTGAATAGTTCCTTGATAACTGAAGTCAATCGTTCTGACGTACCACATGAAATCGTTATAAGATATCTTACAAAAGGCCATACGCACATGTCTGCTGATGGAATTCATGGCAATATCGAGCAAAAAATACTAAGGAGCAGAAATATCTACGATTTTCAGGAACTGACTGAACTTGTAAATAACTCTAGAAAAAATGTAGAGGTACTTGAGTTAAAAGAGTTTCACTTGTGGCAAAATAAAAAAAAAGGACAACTAAGAAACTAGAGGATCCTTTAAAGGGTTTTCTATTACAAAATTTGGTAGAAGTACTTTTTACATGAGAAAGTAGTTGTATAAAATATAAAACAGATTTTCAGGACGATTATAAGGAACTAGATTTTTTACAAAAAAAAAAACACTGCCCAAGCACGTTTACGTCCAAAACTTTAAATATGCGTGGAATCTCAAGCGACAAAAAGGCAATTATTTTGAAAAACATATTACCATTAATGCCGGAAAACCGAAAGTTCTTTTGGCAAAGCCTACCAGACTCAGAAACATCTTTAGACTTGGTGGATCATGAACAAATGGATGCCATAGATTCCAATATTTAAATAAAATGTATCGGTACGTTTACTAATTTCGTTTTTATAGTTTAGTTTTCTGCTGTTACCAAACCGATGTATTTTTTGTTTATTTCGTCCCTTTTGTCATTTTAGTAATATTACCCGTTTTTTGTTTTAAGTACAGATTGTTTATGTTGTCCGCTTTGTTAGTTCCAAATTTTTAATCATAGTTTTTACATTAGGTAAGTTTGTATTTTGTATTCTATATTATTAAAATAAATGTGTTTTATCATAGACATATTTTTAATTTACTTTTGCTGAAATACTAAAACACACTAACAGCACTTACTGTTCCGCAAAATGGAGTATTTTTTAAGTATGTACTAGTTACAAAACATAGCAAAGGCAATTACTGTGTTTTGTTATGGAAAAATTTATTTTAATTTTTTTCAAAAACCTATGCAAAATTATTCCCTTCAATAATATTTAAAAAAATGTGAATAGAGGTTCTCTAACACACCGTCAAGTTTGTAATTGAATTTATTTAATAATTTCTTACGGCTTACACATTTTAGAAAAATCGAATTTTCTCCATTGTTGTAAAACTGCAATTACTGTGTTTTGCCATGGGACAGCCGAGGTGTTGAATTGTCAAGAGAAAGAACAAAATTATCCAAACTGGATAAACAGTCCTCACTTTCACGTTTCGTTGATACATAAATTCGACAATTTAAATAAAAGATATTCGATTGTCTCCACTAAGAGTAAGTGATTGCAAACTCTTAACTGGCCTATCATACGGCTTATATGAATTGGCTAATTTAATAGAAAATAGCTTTTGCAGTAAGCGAGAACAATAAAATTATTGATATAAGGTTGAATGCTCGAATAAATGAACTTTGATAATGTAAAAGGCAAATATCGAGCACAGTATTAATTTAATCTTGCCAAAGTACTTTCGATCACTAGATCATCTTTAGGGCCATTTCGTTAATTGCGGCCTATCCGACAAGAATAAAATGTTATAAACATAAAATGGAACATTACAATACACTACACAAAGATAAACAAACACTTTAAAATCTTGAAAATAGGCGAAGCTACATGGTGTATAGAAGCCGGAGACAGAATGGGCCGGAGACAGAAAGCCCAGACTTGGGGAAGAATAAATTAATACTGTGCTCGATATTTGCCTATTACATTATCAAAGTTATTAAAATTATTGTAAAAAGTTAAAAAAAAAACGGATCTCTGCATTAGAGTGAAATCTACTTCGTAAAGTTTTTGTTTCTTTTTATAATTCTGCTAAAGCAAGTACTAAGTTTGAAACGTCTTTTATAGCTTTACAAATATCTATGTCTTATGATTGAAGTAATTTGGTAATTTTGACAACCATGTGCAAAATTGGATGCATTATTTCCAAACCCATAATAAAATCCAAGGATTTTATTGATGTAGTATCCCTTTGCCGGTCTCAGCTTTTGTGGAGGAAGAGTTCTGAACTAAGTAGGAATTCTTCAGTGCTCCGCAGAAGACAGACTGGGCGGGGAAGTCCTCAATCTCGACACGGCGCATCCCATATGGCTGATAGGGGACGTCTTGTATATTATACAGGGTAGATGCGAATAAGGTTCGCAAGATAAGCACGCGCGGAATAACTGAGGACATGGTATAGGGCATCAGCTGTGTCATTACTAACTCCAAGGCTGGGGAAGAGTGACTTCTTAATAGGCTTGGAATCAGATATTTATGGGCGACAATCAGATATTGGTGTAATCGGTTATAATACTGCGGTGTGTAAGGCAATGAGAAACCAACACACTAAATATTCTCAAGATATTATAACTATGGTAAGTTACGGAAGACAAAAGACCCCTGTCCGTGGCAGACCTTAGATGGTCGAGGGGTGCTAAGAATCCCCACGACAAATGCTAGGAACCACCCGAAAGTGGAAAACAAAAATTACAAGTTAAAAATTGGAACCTAAAATGCAAAATCTCTCTTTCTGCTAGAAAAATCTCATAACATCATGAGAGAAATAAAAAGAATTGGAGTCAACATTCCCAGAGCCAGTGAAATTAGATGGCCTAGATCTGGACAGACAAACATCGATAACCATGTAATATACTATGCTGGTAATGACGATCCTCATTATTATAACGGAGTGGCATTTATAGTTGACCATAAAAGCAGTAAATGTCTAACGAACTATATACCTATATCTGATAGAGTAGCTATGCTGCAAATTAATCCCACTCCTTGTAATATTAACTTTATACAAGTATATGCTCCTACAACAGAAAAACCAGAAAGAGAAGTACGAGAATTATACCAAGAGATCAAACAGCTAATGAAGATCACAAAAAAAATGCTGTAAACATTATTATGGGAGATTTTAATGACAAAGTAGGTGAAGGGCGGACCGAAGACACAGTAGGAAACTTTGGTTTAAGCCAAAGTTACAGATACTGGTCCAATTTTGCCAAGAAGAAAATCTAATGATCGCAAACACCTGGTTTAAACAACCAAAAAGAAGATTGTATACATGGAAAGCACCTGGGCATAATCAAAATCGCATATTAAAACCAGATTGATTATATATTATTTGACAAACGTTATAGAAATGGAATCAGGGTAGTTAAAACATATCCCGGGGCGAACATCGGTTCTGACCAAAATATTGTTGTTTGTAAAATTTCAATTAAACTAAAGAAAATCAAATACAGAGAGAAGATAAAACCTAACCTCGAAAAACTTAAAGATCAAATAGTACAGGCAGAAATAGAGAACACACTCAATGATACACTCAAAGAAAAGTTTAGTGAAGCACCCGCGGTAGCAGAAAAAACAATAGAAAGTATTTGGCACACATTCAAAATAACAATCACAACTATACAAAGAGAACAACTACAAAACAATATCAGAAAAACAAAGAATACAGGGATGACAGAAGAAGTTCTAGAATTGATGGACATAAGGAGATCTTACAAAAATTGCAATGAAGAAAAATATAAAGAAACCCAGAGAATCATCGGAAACAAAATCAGGAAAGCCAAACAAGAATGGATGAGCAGCAACCTGTGAGGAACTGGGAGATTTACTAAAAAAGCATGACTACTTTAATGCATACAAAAGGATTAAGTAGTCACAAACATGAAGAAAAAAATCACTATAACAACTTAAGTAGATGATAACAACCAAAAAATATCTAGTCCAGAAAATGTGGGAGATATGTGGGAAAATACATCAAAGATGTGTTTAATGACGGGAGAACAGAACCACAAATGAAATGAATATAGTACAAGAAACAATACTTGATATATTAACATCGAAAGTTATAAAACAATCAATACGGCAAAGCCACGAAGAGCCTCAGGTTCAGATGAAATATAAGTAGAGATGATCAAGCTTATCAATGAAGAAAATCTGTAGACGATTATTTAACAAAATATATACCACTGGAATATTCTTAAAAAACTGGCTTAAATCGACATTTACACCTACATATACAAAAGAAAAATAAAGCAAATAGATGCTCACAGTTCAGATTAATTATTAGCCATTTTCCGAAAATTTTACTCAAAATTGTACATCAACGAATATACAGAGAATGCGAAAGAAACCTGAGGGACAATCAATACATCAGTAAAGTTTCCTGACATCTCTTAAGCTCCGTCAAATCATACAGCTTCAACATCCTTTCAGAAACATTCATATCATGCAAAGTATAATTTATTATTTCAAAAATGGTTTAACTTTATTCTGAATATCCCTTACATATTTGGAAGAACGTAAAATATTATTTTATTTTTAAGTGGAATTTTTTTGGGGCTGATTCCAAGTATGCCTTAAATTTAGGGCCGTATTTTTTAAAAAATTGGACAATTATTGTGAGAAACAATTATTGCTAATCTGATAAATATTCTTCAAACTTGAATAAAATTCTATATATCCTGTTTTCCAAAGGTTTCGTTGGATCCTTTGTTAATTTGGTGTAAGGTCCAATTATTATTAAGTCAATACAAATACAATACAAAACGTCAAAATAAAGATACTTTAAAGTAAACTTGTGGCTTATTACCAATAAAAATAAAAAATTATAAGATTTAGTTTGCTATAAAGAAATTATTAAGCTATTATTAAAGTGGTTTTTAACACCAACCGATGACCGAAGGAATTTCAGACAAACATATCCAAAAGCCACGGTCAAGAAATAATAAATATAAACATAATGTTTGGAAAAGTATTTATTATTTATTGTCATATTTTACATTTAATGTTTTTATTACTAAATTATAATATGATCTTATTTAATGGTATATTCTAACTACTTATTTACTTTAAAAGTACAGTATATTATTTTCTTCTATTCAGTAAATTCGATTGTAAAACTGGAGAACACATTTAGTCTGTTTTTAAGTTCAAAGAGATGCACTCTCTTTGTTATTCTGGAAACTTCCTTGCAAGTACAGAAAACGCTGTAAAATATCAAATTTCTATGACAATTTAGTTGAATTATCGTCATTCAAAAGTGCCATACAATAGAGATGATTTATGGGTATGCGCTTGACTCACTGATGGTCAGATTGGTCAGGTAATGAAGTTGTGTGTCTACGTTAAAAAAAAATGACGTGCACACTACCCTCCATGCTACGGCATGCTGGACGAGCCATACAGTATATAGTCAACACCCCGAGGTATAAGCAGGAACACAAAGTGTATTAATACTCATACGCTTATGAAACGCACCTGGCGCATCATAAGGGCCTTCACATTTTATTCTTTTACAACTTGTCTTAAGTAAAATGTCTTTAATCTTTTCTATCAGCCTCTCTTGGCTAACTCTTGTCTCTTTCGACCCCGAATGGCTATTAGGTTTCCGAATGCAGACGGGTCGCTATATCTCTTTCTCTTACATTCTCATTAACCGAGTGATTGCCGCTATAAGCAATCCCCACTAACTGACTAACGGCTTCGGACGGGTGAGATAGTAAGTGGTAGGACACTTTTTTGTCCTGGGATTGAGAAATTAACTCTAACGCGGATGA